CCCATCCCTCGGTCCCATCACGCACGGGAATTGCTTGGGGTGGCTTGTCAGCCCATTCGTCAACTCAACCTTGGGCACAATCTCGTTGCCCTCGGCATCTCTGGCCTTTTCAATCTTCATGCTACTCAGCATGGCTGCAATGACAATCCAGACGCTAGCCTCGGCGAGGTGCTTGCCGACGCAAACTCGTCGCCCAAAGCCGAACTGGCCATTGGGTAGCGGCTCTCCCTTCCCGCCCTCCTCGACTGGGATATATCGGTCCGGGTTAAAGTCCTCGGGGTCGCTGTACACCCTTTCATCACGCGTCATTGCGCGGGCGTTGGCGTAGACGACGGAGCCTGCGGGGATAAAGTAGCCGTTGTAGATGTCGTCTTGTAATGAACGATGAGGAACGCCGACCGGGGAAACAGGACACCAGCGCAGTGTTTCCTGGACAATGTAATCGATGTATCGGAGCTTGGGACGATCTTCAAAGGTTGGCAGTCGGTCTCGGCCGATGACTTCGTCGAGAATCGCCTGTGCCTTGGCCTGGACATGGGGATGCAGAGTCATGTTCAGCACAAAGACAACGAGAGTGCTCCATGTGGTGTCTTGTCCCGCAGCATACACTGCACCAGCCGCGCCCTTGATATCATCGACGGACAGGTCAGGCAGCGCACCCTTCTCCATCTGATCTTGGCGCTGATCGAGCAGGGTGTTGATAAGGCACTGGGACTTTTCTTCGGAAGCAATGACGGCTTCGTACGGCTTGTCGTGAATATTCAGGATGGCCCATTTCCAGTCCCTAGCAAATTTTAGGGACCTGTCGTGGAACCAAGTCGGAAGTGACTTTAGAACGGGGAAAAAGTCGACTGGCGTTCCTGCTGGTGCGCCGCCATGGCCCAACGCGTAGCTGGCATCGGTGGCCATTTGGATGAACGGATCGGAATCTTTGTCAATCTTGATGCCGAAGCCAATGCCTAGAACAATGGCCGTGGCGAAGCGTCGCATGATGGTTTCCCACTCGGCGGGCTTCTGCACAACGCCTTTGAGCATGATGGTCATTTCTCGCTCTTGCAGCGGGCGGTACTGGGTAATGTTGCTCTTCTGAAAGCTCTTTTGCAGGATCTTGCGATGCATCCGAAACGACGGCCCCCATCGCAGAAAGGTAAGTGTCTTTCCCCAACCCATGACCTCGAATAGGACGAAGCGTGGCCGGTCGCAATAATTGGCGCCGCGCTTGTCAAGCAAGTCGACGGCGGCGCGGACCGAGTTTAGCACGACAACAGGTTGGCCCAGGATGTTGAAGGAGAGGATGTCGGACGAGTACTCTTTGGACCATTGCATGTATGCGAACTCTGGGTTGTCGGCTGGAATGACGCGTAGGTGGCCGAGAATAGGCTCGCCTGGGGGTCCTGGCGGCAGAGGCAGAGAGCGCTTGCTCTTTCGCGAGAGGGCGAGCTTGCAGAGGTAGAGGATGGCTGAGACGGCCAAGATGGTGAGCCCAGCCGGGCCCATCAGGAGCTGCACCAAAGCCATGTCGAGAAGCTGGCCTGGAAGAGCAAACAAGTGTTTTGGCTGGTGTTGTTTGTCAAGTGCAGCGGAACATTGACGGCGGCGTATCTCAAATATCAGGGCGCGTTGTTCCACAAGGCAACGGCCGGTATCATCCCCATACAACAGACCAACCAGACCAAAGACTGCGATCCCGTACTTCCGACCTCTCAGTGCATCGAGATAACGAAGCAGTTTCGATGATCAAAGTGCGGGGACGCGATGTGGCATGACCAGCCAAATTGTGCGAGACACATTACACATCTGCCGCCTCGACGCAAGCGGCCGTGTCGAGATGCCAGATTAGACTTCATCAAGGTCCCTTGCGTCAGCTCCGGCAAGTCTCGATCTGTTATCGCAGGCGTCATCTATGATTCCGTCTGCCGGACTGCGCCGTGAGACGCTAATCCGGCAATTCCGTCTGCTGGATTTGCCCGACCCCACCTCGCGATGACAGGCTTCGGAGCACAAGCAGATGACGCGTGATTGGAGACTTTGAGCAACCACTTGCCCAGCGGCTTGCCGGTCCAAGTGATCAAATACAATTCCCTTCCAATGTCTTCCTCCATCCCATCAGACTAGCTCATCCATCCGCAAGACATATCGCGTTTGCCAAGAGCCAACCATCATGAAGGGCGCCACAGCTGTCTCGGCCTACACCACAGAGCCCTCTGCGGCCGACCCTCATCGGTACCAGACAGGCTTCGGCAATCGATTTGCGTCAGAGGCTATCCCCAACGTGCTGCCCAGCGGGCGGAACGTGCCGCAAAAGGTCAAATATGACTTATACTCGGAGCAGCTCAATGGCTCCTCCTTTATCGCATCCCGGCAGATGATCCAGCATGTCTGGATGTATCGCATTCGTCCGTCAGTGGCGCATGGCGATGTGTCACCTTCTGCCACAAACCCTCATGTAAGCGTCTCACCGGTTGTAACCAGATCCCTGCTAACGCCGAATAGATTGAAGCCTCATTTTCGGCTGCCAACAAAAACGTGCAATACGTTGCTTCACAAGAGGCCTGGGATCCCTTTCCAATTTTACCTGAACCCGAAGACGCTTCTTCTGATGGCAGGATTGACTTTGTCGATGGCATCCGCACCGTTGCAGGGCAGGGAGATCCAACTCTCAGGGAAGGTCTTGCCATTCACATCTACACGGCAAATGCGTCCATGACAAACAGAGCATTCTCCAACAATGACGGTGACCTGCTCATCCTACCACAAGAAGGCCGTTTGAACATACAGACCGAACTTGGATGGATGATGGTGCGGCCAGGCGAACTTGTGGTTATTCAGGCTGGCATCCGCTTCCGTGTGCTGCTGCCAGATGGGCCTGTCCGCGGGTATATCCAGGAGATTTTCGGCGCTCACTACGACCTTCCAGAGCTGGGGCCCGTAGGTTCCAACGGTATGGCTCTACCTCGAGATTTTGAGTCGCCAGTTGCCAGCTTTGACGTCGACGACTCGCCTTGGGACATTGTCTATAAACTGGCGGGCACGTTGCAAGTATGCCAACAAAAGCACACCCCATTCGACGTGGTAGCATGGCACGGCAACTTGGTTCCGTACAAGTATGCCATTGAAAAGTTTGTCAACATGACAAACGTGGAAAAGGACCAGGCCGACCCAACAATCTACTGTGTCCTGACTGCGAAATCCAAGACACCAGGCGTCTCACTGACCGACTTCCTGGTCTTCACACCAAAATGGATCACCACCTCCGACACATTTCGGCCACCATACTACCACCGCAACATGAGCACCGAGGTGATGGGCCTCATCTACGGGCGCTACGGCGGCAGCAGCCACGTGCTGGAACCCGGCGGCCTCAGCTACGAAGCGAGCTACATGCCGCACGGCGAGACGTACGAAACATGGAAGGACGCGACGACGCGCGATCTCAAGCCCGAGCGCATCTGCGAGGACACCATGGCCTTCATGTTCCACATCAGCGTGCCCATGTTCCTGACGACGTGGGCCATGAGCGGCGAGGGCGCAAAGTCGCTGCATCCGACTGCGCCGACACAGTGGGACGATGTCAGGGCGCATTTTCTGGATCACTTGGACGAGGTTGATGCTGATCTTGCCGCTGCTGGTTTGCCTGCGTTGGCGTCTAGGAAGAGCTTGGTGGTAGGGCAGGAGAATGGGGAAGATAAATGCGTGAACGGGAACCTGAAAAGAAGACGCACAGATGCGACGGCATAGAAACTAAATGCTGATGCTGCATGTAGCTGGGGAGTCTTGTAGGAATGTTGTAAAGTTGACAATACACGATCAGCCATACCAGGGCTTGGCCATAAATGAAGTGAAGATGCAGCTTCGTGAGATGGGCGCAGGGTGAAGACCAAAAGACACACAAGCATTCATGCAGGTCATCTCGTAGAATGAATGTCGTGTGAGGTGAGGAGAGCATCCACCAACCAGTTGATTGTTGACACTGAATGTCAACTCCCTGAGCTGTAGAGTAATAGTAAAATTTATCGGCGCACCAATCATCGAAGAAAGCAATTTGGCACAGTGAAGAGTGTCGTCATATATCATATCTGAATTCTGCTTGACACGCTGAGAAAATCACATCACCCCGGAGAGCTTTGCGCATTAGTACCTGGGTGTGCGAGAAATACGACAAGGCCGGAAAGCTATATGGAAAATTTCATAAGCCCTGGGGAAACTTATCTGAGATTACTTCAGCATCCTCACTAACTACTTATGTGATTCAATGCCTGCATGGTATCATCTAAAACAAGCGGAAAGTTCACGTTGACAACTTGAAGGAGTATATCACCCGCCTCCTAAGATTGCAGCCACCAAGACTGAACCACTGGGATCTGGCGAGATGCGGATCAGATAAAGCTAAAGCAGATGAATATCCTCCGTTTGAAGACGATCTATCCTCCATCCCTTAAGTAAAAATAATGACTATCAACACTAACCAACGAGCGACCAGGACTCCGAAAACACAAGTGCAAAGTGGACTAGGCCGAGATGATGATTGGGAATGGGAGATGGATGGTCTGGTTCACGTGATGGACGACTCAGCTAAGGATGAAGAACTTGGCGAGAATGGGCCATGAGGGATCTGGGATGGTGGGCATGGGTAGTGGAGGACTGGTACGGGAGATCAAGGGCTACTACACATGTGATATCAGAACTGGGACAAGGATCATCTGAGACACATCATTTCGGTTTCAAAGAGTGCTGGGGCAACACTATCTACCTATATATAGTCTCCAGTAGTCTGTTAAGCGGGGTACGAGCATAAGCATACATATAGGAAGGTGGTCTATCAGTCTGAGGACATTCCCCTGTGGCGGCAACAGGGCCGGGCCTAGTTAGAGGAATCAACAAGTATCATCACCGCATGAACTCAGTCACTTTTCAGGTCCGACATGCTTTTAAGTCCAAAAATAAAAATAAAATAAAAGGCCGAGCAGCCCAAAAAAATAAACCTTCTCGGGTTTGGTGCTTAGCAATTGCACGTTTCGATCGTGCGACCTCCGGGTTATGAGCCCGGCTTGGAGGAGTTAGTTAAAATGCAATTTGCGGAGTATCCATGGGCAAACGTACCGCGCTTCCACTGCGCCAAATTGCTTTATCGGTGAAAATGGCGCTGATAAACTTTCATATGATTGTGCGATGTTCTCAACCTGGTGATCCATCTTTGTTACCTCGGTTGCAGTTGGCACTGAGGCCCAACCATTACTCCTAACTGCACGATACTCACAACATCCAGTGTGTATGGAATTGAAGGCTACTGCCTGACATTAACCTTTCAGTTACTCGGCTATATCTATTCTGCCCTTATCTGCTTTATTTCGGACGTCGCTTGCACCATGGGCAAATTACAACAGGTGATCCAACACAGGAATCGGACTGGGAACCCGATCTTGCGCTGCAACCTACCATGAAAGATCCCTCTAATCCATATATTACAACTAGCTTAAATGCTATCGGCAAGGACAGCTAGCTGGAAGAACCAAGTAAACCAGACCAGCGGCAAACCAGCGACGTACATACAACGCATGCGTGGGCTTTTTACAACGGCACCATTCATCCCTCGACTATGCAACATATATTGGGCATGTATTTAGTGGTTTGCGTCAATCGCCTCATCGCTGGGTGTGTAGGAATGAAAGGGGCTTAGGTTCCGGCGTGCGCTCACGGTTGCCCCTTCCCCTACCATGCCTTCTAATCACGGAAGGGCTGCCAATCGCTTCCGAGCAAAACCTCGCTCAGCTTTGATTGAACATAACCTCAAGACTGACGTCCTCTTCATCGCTTTTTTCGCTGATTGTTCAGCGTTCACCCACTATCTCCAAAATGACCACCGAGCGGGCGAGAGAACTTCTGGCTGAGCTCATGAGAGAGCCTGGTGTGAGTGCAGTGCTTCTGCTCTCTTTAGGGGCCAGATTGGGGTGCATTTGGAGTTCAGCGCTCAAGGTGAAGAGCAAGAGAGGATCGAGGATATCTTTGGCCAAGATAGTAAGTTCACTGTATAACTCTGCATTTTCTGTCATTAATGACTATTGTAGAGCTTCCTTCTCGGCGAGTTGTCAAGAGAAAACTCGAAGATGGAGATGAGAACAATGATGGGAATGACGGCATTGCTGGCAAAATATCGAGCAAGATCTCCTCGACATCTTCAAGTAAAACTCCGGACGGGAATGCCACAAACTGACGCCTGATGTTTGGACCACGCACGGAAAATGGACCAGAAGATACAAACATCTTGACGGCCGCGTGAACAAGCAAACTTCAGGTGCAGGCGGAAGTCATGGACGAGTCACGAATATACCGTGGGTATCCCTTACCTAGTTCAGATTTAAGCACAGGAACGCCAGTTAGCTGACAGCAAGCCGCAACCTTCCAAACGTGTCCAAGCGGCAGTTCTAGCTCGGAGCTTCAACCGCCTTGTGACCATGTTGGTAGATGACTCTTATCATACTCAAGATACATTGTAGCCAATTGGCCATCAGTCACAGGGACCGTGCACCACATATATCCCCCACTCCACATTTCAATCCCCGTTTAATGGCTTGTCCTTCACAGCACGCACGACGGAAACGGTTGTCTCAATGTAACGCTCTAGGCAGCAGCCCATGGTAGCTGGTTAGACAAGAGAGGGATAAGCGCCGAATAGGTTGCGTCGGGTATCGGAGTTGTTATATTGCTTGCCAGTCAGGCTTTCACTCTTCCCGGAGCCCCTCATCACCTCCGTCAACCTCCTGAGCCGCGTCGAGCATCCACGCCCGTCGGATGACTCATTTGTGCCAGGCAGTTTATCAGCCAACCATTAGCCGCTCAAACAATACGCGGAGTAATTTAGCTCGTGGTTGCGTTCTAGGCGCCCCGGAAATATGGTCACGGAGATATCACGGCTAACGCGTGCACTAGGCCGTGGCTGGCCATCGATCTCTTCTTTTGCACAACTTATTTATCACCAATGATTGATATGTAAGAAAACAAGACGAAAGGTCTTAAAAATTTGCAGGTTCTGGTGCTACAGCGTCCTGGTACTGCATGGCCGTAGGACGTCTCATTACCACTTTTGAGGCGGTTAAAAATTGATCAAAATCAGCGACCAGCTCAGGGAAACCCTCGATCTTGCAGAATGCGGCTTGTTTATGCTCGTTCATCTTCTCTACCCCCTCCGCTGTACCGCCCGCAGCCTCATTGTACAAATTAATAAAGGCGATCAGCTCGGCCTTGAACTCTTCAAAGTCGCACTTGCGGAGGGAGCGCTTGAGGCAGAGGTTAGCGAGAAGTTCAAGAGCTGCTAGAGGATAGCTAGGGGAAGCAAACCTCAACTTTGTCGCTGTAGCGGATGTAGGAGAAGATGGGGTCGTCTGTATGGCCTGGGACACCGAGGTGGCTTTCGTTGACCTCTGCCGCTTGTTTACCACCGCTTTCAGGCACATCTTGTTTACTACCGCTTGCGGGCCCCTCTGGTCGTCTGACATTCGGCATATTGAAGGGGACACTAAGGAATCTTTGTTTAATAAATTTTAAGGTCGTTAAGATGCGTGTGAAGGAGGCAGGATGGATAATCTTCGACTCTGGTTCTGTAGGTGATAATTCTAGATGCACGCATGAGATTCCATCGCGCGAGCCTATATATATATATATGTCATACGGTGTCGAGGAGTAGCTGCAGGCAGCAGTCTAGACCCTAAAACACCTAATGAGGCGCAATACTTAACGGTCTATTATTGGCCCTGCGAAGACGCTATACGAGCCGCGATATAAGAAATCAGGTCATGTAACTATAGCATCCAAGATCAAACTTGGAAGTGGTGAGTCTTGAAGTAAGGAAGTGATGTCGGATCAATGTTGGCCATGGATCCTTAAGGTATGTGGGGTTAAAGGCTCACACGACCATGCCAGTTTCTTTTAGGAGGGGGGTGGTTCGGCAGGGGGGTGGCTCGGCAGGGAGTTGACTCGGGAGGGGGTGATTCGGCAGGGGGGTGGCTCAACAGGCATTATCAGTCATTCGACCCTGATCCTGCTTATGCAAGTCCACTGCATTTTTTTCACAACCTATCGAGACATATATGAATGCTTGGTGCCTAAGGCTGTAATTTCTCCAGGCTCACGCGTTGCTCTCTTAACTGCACGCGTTGGAGTACCGCACTTGTCTAGAGTCCTGGTACAGCTTCTCATTTAGCGACATTACGCGAACCATGGTCATGTGCAGATACACAACCGCAAACATTATGCACGACGAGTGTCAATGGAACCCCCAATACGGAATAGTTAAGCGTCCGTATAAGCGATGTACAGATCGGCCTAAACCCGGCCCTCCTTGTAATCCATGTGTTGGGGTCGACGGTCCCGTTTCCTGACTGGCCAGAAACCATCACGTGATGTGGTCGAGCCAGCACCCTGGCACTGGCTCGCAACTTGACATTGTCGTCACTATCCATCAGCCGACACGTACCTTCTCTGCCCGGAACTCGTTCGTGGTTCATTTTATGTACTCAGCCCCTCACGCCCGCATAGCATCATGAGCACCCCTTTAATCTTCGAGTTTTGTAAGCTGACCAATTGCGCAACTGCCGATCGCGGCAACGGCGCTCTTGACACGAAAGTTGCCATCCCTCGACTTCGCTCACCAGCCCGCCAACCCGCCTTCACTGCCTTTGAGAGACAACGCTTGCGTGGATGCTGGAAGCAGTGCCTTCGTCGTGTGCAGTTACCTTTACGGCCTAGACGGGTTCCTTCGTGGATCTGCGCCTCATCCAACAACTTAGGAGGGAACGCCCAAGCAGCTTGCCGCTTGGGCCTCTTCAGACATCGATTTAGGGGTCCATTGGAACTGATTTCTCTCCGTGTCCAAGACGTTGAATCGGGCTCTTGAGCTCGATCTCATCCGACCGCGCTGCTGCAGGGTTTTGCGGACGTGCCGTTTCTCCCACGGAGACCAGCTACATCGTAGCAGCCGAAGCTAGTCAGGGCCCGAAGGCCATCCAATTCCGGCACTCGGCTATGAGTCTCGAAGTTCTAAGCCAAGCTCGAACACTTACGGGAATTTTGTTCCTAATTGCAAAACCCACGGCATGTTGGCCGACCTCCATGTTTACGAGATGGATTTAGTCCCCCGAGTCGCTTTCTCTCAAGCGCGGCGTCAACTCCTCGCTCTCGCAATGAAGCAACGTCTGCTTTGAACTGTACAGGACCATGTAAAACACAAATGGCTAAACTTGGCTGCCCAAGAGAGATGTCCCTAATTAAATCTCAGGTGGTATGCGAAGACGGATCTAGCGTGGTCACTACAAGCTTCATAGCGGTGGCGCAGAACCAGCTATCTGGTACGATGGCCATCCATCCACCCGAATGCTACGTCCTGCACGTGTTATACGGCGAAAGACGCTTCTTGTCGTGGTTGCTATTGGAATCTGCAGGGAGTCGGGCTCCGGAAATGTAAGGGCTGGGTGAAAGGCTTGCAAGAAGGCCAGGCTTTCGCCAGGTTGAAAGAGATTTGCCAACTAACAAGATAGTCAAAGCATTCTGCTGCTGCCCTCGCACCGTTCAGCGAAATTGATCCCTCTCTACGATTAATCGGATCCCTAAAGCCATAGGCTGGTCGCGGAAGACCTGTCGCCGTATAGCACAGCAGCGAGATAACGAACTACACGATATGTATTTGCGTAGAGTGTCGCAATACAAGGCTGGGCACATGATCTTTATCGACGAGTCTAGCTGTGATAAGGTGGCCGGGCTGCGACGCATGGGATGGGCTCCTCGAGGTAAACGCCCTTAAAAGTCAACAGACTCAATCGTGACACAAGGTATCAGATTCTACCGGCATATACTACAGACCGTATTCTCCTATCGCATCTATACTACTTCGACAGATGCTGCATAATTTAAAGATTTCATTCAGCAGCTGCTGCACCATTGCAGCAAGTGGCCTGAGCCTAAGTCTGTCCTCATCATAGATAATGCATCCTGGCATAACAAGGAGAGGATTGAACAGCTATGCTCTGATGTAGGTACTCTTCTTGCCACTCTACAGGACCCGATTAACTCTATATCTCTCAGAAGTGCACAGGAGGCCAGCGACATCTACAAGATCGTGTTGGTCATCGTTCT